GAGCTGGAAGAACCCTGGGCCGAGGGTTTTTCATTTGAGCTCAGTTCGGTGTTGAACTTACAAATGGGATATAATTGGAGGAGTGGGCACAGAAATGCCTGGCAACAGAGGCAGGCACAGAAATACCCCCTAAAACTAAACAGAGTGTATGAAATGGGCTGCTTATCCTTGGGACTTTATATCTATTGGAAGCCCTGACAGGAGTAGGAAAGTGAGAAGAAAAAATACTGTCCTGTATCCATGTTTATTTGACACACACACTTATTGGGTGTCTTTTGGGTGTCTGGCCTTATGTCTGCACACAAGGAAATGTGCTACACACAGAAAATGTCTGAGGTGGAGCCTCTGCTTGTTCGAGTCTACTTGGCGGAAGAGGCAGACGGGTGAGGAAATAAGAACTATAAAGCATAATCAGTGATCTAATAGAAGTCTGCGTAAGGCAAGTGGGGGTATGACAGAGGGGCAGGCGATTCTGGTAGGAGAACGGCAGCATCTGGGAAAGGCTGCCTTGAGGAGGGCGAGTCAGCTGCCTTATTTTCACTGTGGAAAATGAGCATCTGGCTTCCCGGAGCAAGACCATCTTGAGCTAGATTCTCATTGGGTTGTCCCCTCCCGGTTGGCCTTTTGGACAATAGGAGCCTCAATCTCTCCAGAACTGGTTCCCCTGATGGCTCTGCTATAGGGGACATCATTGGTCTAAATCGTACGTATTGTCTTCCACCAAATTGGTTTTCTCTTCCTGTGTTTTTAACCTCATTGAATAGCTGTCACTCCACTCACCCAAACCAGAAGCTCAAGAGCCACCTGGATTGACTCTTCTTTCCCTCTACAGCTGTTTTTCAGGGTCCTGTTGATTCTGCCTCTGTAGCTGCTCTCCAGTCTCCCCTTGCCCCCCGGCCCAACGCCATGGCATTGGTCTAGGCCTGCATGATCTCTTGCCTGGGGTCCTGACTTATCTTCTGTATGTCAACCTTTTTTTTCAGTCCACTATTGATACTGTTGTTCTGTCCTAAAATACAAGTTGGCATAGGTATCTCTCTCCTTACCATATTTAAACTCTGCTGGTTCCCTGTGAGCTTTAGGCTGAAGTTCAAATTTCTTAACTTACTGTCTATGTTCTTGCTGCCTAGGTTCTCCCAGTCTGGCCCCTGTCAGCCTCTTTAGCACCACTCCAGGCCACCCGCAGCTGCCCCTCCCCTTTACAAGCCACGCCCCTTCAGCCATGCCGAATGTTTCGCTCTTCACTGACATAGTACCTTGTTTTATGATTTTCTGCCTTTGTAGGTGCTGTTCCTTCTGTGTGGAACGTCTTTCCTTCCTTCTTGAGTCTACCTAATTTTTACTCATCTTTCACAATTTTGCTCTAGTGTTACCCCCTCCAGGAAACCTTCCTTGACTTCCAGCCTGGATTAGATGTGCCTTCTGTGGACAGTCTTGGTCATAGCTTCCTGTACTCATCACTGTCATGGAACTTAGCTTACTATAGCATGATTTTTTTATTTATTTGTCAGTCTTCCCTACTAGAGTATATGCCGTCTGAGGCCAGTGTCTTATTCCTGTTAGTATCTCTAGTATCTGTCTCTAGTGCCTGGTACATAGTGATTATGCTTATAGAATTAATACACGAACAAATGAATCTATTATCTGACTAGGCATGATTGCTATTATCAAGTATTTATAGAGCAGAAATACGGGGTTGGGAATTTGGGAAAGAATTTATTTTCTTCTTTCAGCACAGGCAGAGCTTGCCATCCTGGGTAGAAGTGTGACATTTCACACTGCCCATTCATTTCCCATCCTACACCCTCTCACCTTCCCATGCCCTCTGCTCAGCCTGCTGAGAGCCAGCTCCTCCAAGAGTTGCTTTGTTGGAGAGAGAATCAGGGATAGGCAGAGAGTGAGAGGCCAGTCTGAGCACAGGGAAATGCCCATAGGTCCAGGGATCTTCCTTTTCATCCTTTTATGCTGTATCAGCTGATGGACCAGGGCCCTGAGCTCCCTCCCAGGTGGGGTCTGGGGTGTCTTCCCTGGCTTCTCCCTCTCATCAATGTTCCCACAGTGTGAGTTGCAGTAGTGGTAGGGGTAGGGTGGCTGCTGAGCCCTTGCAGATATTTGCATGTACGACTGTCTTCTACCTGATTGAAAAATAAACTTCTACTCTTCTTGAAAAGCTTTGCAGAATTCATTTGCAGCTTTGTTTTGGCCAAAGCAGAGCCTGACTCTGAGACTCTAAGAAATCTTACTTCACAGTTCCCACAGCACATTCATAAATGGTGCATTTGGGGAGATGTCAAAGACCCCCGTGGAGTATGTGCTGTCCCCT